ACCTTGCCTGGTACGTAGGAGGTCGTGGATTCGATCCCGACCCTGCCGCTGCTGTGTATTTGGAGTTTGCGTCTCTCTCCCCGTGGTCGCGTGGATGTTTCTCGGGGTCCTCCGGTTTTTCCCCTCTCCACGTTTAGAACCGACGACGCTACGCTTTGAGAGCATTCGGCTGCCGCTCTAAAATGTCCACATGGTGGCGGTGACGATGATGATGATGACGATGACTATAACGATAAGCCGCCGCTTGCTTGAGCAGCTATCATTCGTGATGTCCAGGTGGTCGCGTCTAACAAAAGAGCTACTACACGGCTCTGTGGGACCTTACACCTGCTAAAATAAAATAAAGAATAGTTTACAATCGTGGTCTATCGTCAACGCGTCTTTGTACCCAGAGCATTGTTTGGTTAATGTGTGTGGATCGATGTCCACCCCCTCCACTCCCCCCTCCCTCCTCGGCTACTTCTCGCCGGGCCTCCGCCGATCGGGTGATCGGCAGAGGTCGCAACCGGGTACCCGATACCTGTACCCTACCCGATACCCGGCTACCCGTACCCAGCCAGGTACGGGTACCCGTTTGCGACCCTGGTGCGGCCGGGTACGGGTAGGCCGTGAGTCACCGGTGAGTCACCGTTTGTCACTCATTTCCCAACGTCTTGTCTCTTCTCACGATTCAAGTTCCTAGAATCAACCCACCCGCGCCTGCAACATGGCTTCATCCCAGAGGTCGCAATCAGGTACCCGATACCCGTACCCTACCCGTACACGGCCGGGTACGGGTAGGGTACGGGTATAGCCGGGTACGGGTAGGCCGTGAGTCACTGGTGAGTCACCGTTTGTCACTCATTTCCCAACGTCTTGTCTCTTCTCACAATTCAAGTTCCTAGAATCAACCCACCCGCGCCTGCAACATGGCTTCATCCCAGAGGAAATAATAAAATATTAAATAAAATAATTCTCACGACGTTTCGGCCACAACGCAATCAGCTTGATATGCAAATTCCTTTGTCAAGGCGCCCCTTCCCCCCTCTAACCCAGTTTAAATATATGCTGCCAAGCTTGGTGGTGTTCATTAAGACGCTGTCTTCCCGACAGACCTGTTCTTCACCTCAGGACGGCTGCTTGCGTTGTGGCCGAAACGTCGTGAGAATTATCTTTTTATGTTTTATTTTTATTATTTTATTATTTCCCTTCTACGCGATGACTTTACCGAAAGAACCAAGAAGAATAAGGAAAAAGTTGTCCGCGTAAAGTTCAGCACTACAGAAGTAAAACAATGTGTGTTTTAAAATGTGCGTGTTTTTGGTTTTAATTTAGGGCCACTTCGTAACAAATGCTACAGGGCCCGCACTAGCTACATCCGGCACTGTCTTAAGGTTTGTACACGAAGCCATACAAATATACAAACACAGACATAATTTCAACCGTGATGATGGTTACAAACTGAGTAATCATTGGAAAGATGTGATTAACCATGCAAAAAAGATTTAACTACACTTATTTGGCCAATCTTATTTGACAGACAACTATTACAGGTTTACCATGTTTAGTGGTTGTCTCCTTGTCACAGGTTGAGTCACAAACCGTACCTCTCCATAACAAAGGCTAACCCTCTTAAGCCTCACCTTACCATATGAATAAAAAGTGTGCTGTTCTTGGCCCTCCCCCCCCCCTCTCTCCAACCATTATATAAACGGAGTGGTAGCTCTTGTAATCTCTCATTTACTTGATACATCCGTCGTGGCTGTGACGGTTCCTCCTGAAGACGGAAGCTTGTGTTGCCTCCGAAACGTCGTGATTTTTATTTGATTTTACTTTTAATAATTTTAATGTTTTACCTACGTGACTTTACCGAAAATAACCTAAGAATATGTCTATGGGGTCTCTGGGTAGGAGTCTCGATGGGTGTCTGTGGGTCTATGGGTCTCTATGAGTAGGAGTCTCTATGGCTGTCTGTGGGTCTATGGGTCTCTATGAGTATGAGTCTGTATGGGTGTCTGTGGGTCTATGGGTCTCTATGAGTAGGAGTCTGTATGGGTGTCTGTGGGTCTATGGGTCTCTATGAGTAGGAGTCTCTATGGCTGTCTGTGGGTCTATGGGGTCTCTGAGTATGAGTCTCTATGGCTGTCTGTGGGTCTGTGGGTCTCTATGAGTATGAGTCTCTATGGGTGTCTGTGGGTCTATGGGTCTCTATGAGTATGAGTCTTTATGGGTGTCTGTGGGTCTATGGGTCTCTATGAGTATGAGTCTTTATGGGTGTCTGTGGGTCTATGGGTCTCTATGAGTATGAGTCTCTATGGGTGTCTGTGGGTCTATGGGTCTCTATGAGTATGAGTATCTATGGGGTCTGTGGGTCTATGGGGTCTCTGAGTAGGAGTCTCTATGGGTGTCTGTGGGTCTATGGGTCTCTATGAGTATGAGTCTCTATGGGTGTCTGTGGGTCTATGGGTCTCTATGAGTATGAGTATCTATGGGGTCTGTGGGTCTATGGGGTCTCTGAGTATGAGTCTCTATGGGTGTCTGTGGGTATATGGGTCTCTAGGAGTATGAGTCTCTATGGGTGTCTGTGGGTCTATGGGTCTCTATGAGTATGAGTCTCTATGGGTGTCTGTGGGTCTATGGGTCTCTATGAGTATGAGTCTTTATGGGTGTCTGTGGGTCTATGGGTCTATATGAGTATGAGTCTCGATGGGTTTCTGTGGGTCTATGGGTCTCTGTGAGTGAGTCTCTATGGGTGTCTGTGGGTCTATGGGTCTCTATGAGTATGAGTCTCTATGGCTGTCTGTGGGTCTATGGATCTCTATGAGTATGAGTCTTTATGGGTGTCTGTGAGTCTATGGGTCTCTATGAGTATGAGTCTCTATGGGTGTCTGTGGGTCTATGGGTCTCTATGAGTATGAGTCTCTATGGGTGTCTGTGGGTCTATGGGTCTCTATGAGTATGAGTCTTTATGGGTGTCTGTGGGTCTATGGGTCTCTATGAGTATGAGTCTCTATGGCTGTCTGTGGGTCTATGGGTCTCTATGAGTATGAGTCTCTATGGGTGTCTGTGGGTCTATGGGTCTATATGAGTATGAGTCTCGATGGGTTTCTGTGGGTCTATGGGTCTCTGTGAGTGAGTCTCTATGGGTGTCTGTGGGTCTATGGGTCTCTATGAGTATGAGTCTCTATGGGTGTCTGTGGGTCTATGGGTCTCTATGAGTATGAGTCTCTATGGGTGTCTGTGGGTCTATGGGTCTCTATGAGTATGAGTCTCTATGGGTGTCTGTGGGTCTATGGGTCTCTATGAGTATGAGTCTCTATGGGTGTCTGTGAGTCTATGGGTCTCTATGAGTATGAGTCTCTATGGGTGTCTGTGGGTCTATGGGTCTCTATGAGTATGAGTCTCTATGGGTGTCTGTGGGTCTATGGGTCTCTATGAGTATGAGTCTTTATGGGTGTCTGTGGGTCTATGGGTCTCTATGAGTATGAGTCTTTATGGGTGTCTGTGGGTCTATGGGTCTCTACGAGTATGAGTCTCTGGGTGTCTGTGGGTCTATATGAGTATGAGTCTTTATGGGTGTCTGTGGGTCTATGGGTCTCTACGAGTATGAGTCTCTGGGTGTCTGTGGGTCTCTATGAGTATGAGTCTTTATGGCTGTCTGTGGGTCTATGGGTCTCTATGAGTATGAGTCTCTATGGGTGTCTGTGGGTCTATGGGTCTCTATGAGTATGAGTATCTATGGGGTCTGTGGGTCTATGGGGTCTCTGAGTAGGAGTCTCTATGGGTGTCTGTGGGTCTATGGGTCTCTATGAGTATGAGTCTCTATGGGTGTCTGTGGGTCTATGGGTCTCTATGAGTATGAGTCTCTATGGGTGTCTGTGGGTCTATGGGTCTCTATGAGTATGAGTCTCTATGGCTGTCTGTGGGTCTATGGGTCTCTATGAGTATGAGTCTCTATGGGTGTCTGTGGGTCTATGGGTCTCTATGAGTATGAGTCTCTATGGGTGTCTGTGGGTCTATGGGTCTCTATGAGTATGAGTCTTTATGGGTGTCTGTGGGTCTATGGGTCTCTATTAGTATGAGTCTCTATGGCTGTCTGTGGGTCTATGGGTCTCTATGAGTATGAGTCTTTATGGGTGTCTGTGGGTCTATGGGTCTCTATGAGTATGAGTCTCTATGGGTGTCTGTGGGTCTATGGGTCTCTATGAGTATGAGTCTCTATGGGTGTCTGTGGGTCTATGGGTCTCTATGAGTATGAGTCTCTATGGGTGTCTGTGGGTCTATGGGTCTCTATGAGTATGAGTCTTTATGGGTGTCTGTGGGTCTATGGGTCTCTATGAGTATGAGTCTCTATGGGTGTCTGTGGGTCTATGGGTCTCTATGAGTATGAGTCTCTATGGGTGTCTGTGGGTCTATGGGTCTCTATGAGTATGAGTCTTTATGGGTGTCTGTGAGTCTATGGGTCTCTATGAGTAGGAGTCTCTATGGGTGTCTGTGGGTTTATGGGTCTCAATGAGTATGAGTCTTTATGGCTGTCTGTGGGTTTATGGGTCTCAATGAGTATGAGTCTTTATGGGTGTCTGTGGGTCTATGGGTCTCTATGAGTATGAGTCTCTATGGCTGTCTGTGGGTCTATGGGTCTCTATGAGTATGAGTCTCTATGGCTGTCTGTGAGTCTATGGGTCTCTATGAGTATGAGTCTTTCTGGCTGTCTGTGGGTCTATGGGTCTCTATGAGTATGAGTCTTTCTGTCTGTGGGTCTATGGGTCTCTATGAGTCTCTATGGCTGTCTGTGGGTCTATGGGTCTCTACGAGTATGAGTCTCTATGGGTGTCTGTGGGTCAATGGGGTCTCTGGGTATGAGTCTCGATGGGTGTCTGTGGGTCTATGGGTCTCTACGAGTCTCTATAAACACGAGTCCAGAGTTATTTCTCCGCTACAAATTTCCGGACGACTATCATTATCGAACACAGCCAGAGGGTGGGAATGTACCTCGTTCAAGTAAACAACAACAACACGAGCCTCGAAAGGGGTTTTTTATTGGGTAGCTGCACGTCTTGCCACATCGATACACAAGCGACGTTTGATACACAAGCGACGTTCAGAGGCAATGATGGGAAGAAACCGCAGAGCGGTGGCAGCGTTGAGAAGGCTGACCGCGTGCTGATGCTTCCTGTGGGAGCACACCGGAGGGTGAGCTGGGGCGAGATGGGACTCACACACGACGCATACGCACAGGACTGGCGTACAGCGCTCACGTACACCACTCATACATACAGCACACATACAGCACTCACATACATACAGCACTCACATACATACAGCACACATACAGCACACACAGCACTCACTCATACATACAGCACTCACATACATACAGCACACACATACATACAGCACACACAGCACTCACTCATACATACAGCACTCACATACATACATACAGCACACACATACATACAGCACACACAGCACTCACTCGTACATACAGCACACACACACCACTCACTCATACATACATACAGTGCTCACATATAGCACTCATACATACAGCACACATACATACAGCACACACAACACTCACTCGTACATACAGCACACACACACCACTCACTCATACATACATACAGCACACACACACACCACTCATACATACAGCATACACACACCACTCATACATACAGCACACACACACACCACTCATACATACATACAGCACACACACACACCACTCATACATACAGCACTCACATACAGCACTCACATACAGCACACACACACACACCACTCACTCATACATACAGCACACACACACCACTCACTCATACATGCAGCACACACACACACCACTCACTCATACATACAGCACACACCCTACTCACTCATACATACAGCACACACTCACATGCATCACTCATACATACAGCACACACACACTACTCACTCATACATACAGCACACACACACCACTCATACATACAGCACACACACACACCACTCACTCATACATACAGCCCTCACATACAGCACACACACAAACCACTCACTCATACATACAGCACACACACACACCACTCATACATACATACAGCACACACACACACCACTCACTCATACATACAGCACACACACACACCACTCATACATACAGCACACACACACACCACTCATACATACAGCACACACACCACTCACTCATACATACAGCACTCACATACAGAACTCGCATACAGCACACACACCACTCATACATACAGCACACACACCACTCACTCATACATACAGCACACACACACACCACTCACTCATACATGCAGCACACACACACACCACTCATACATACAGCACACACACCACTCATACATACAGCACACACACACCACTCATACATACAGCACACACACACACCACTCACTCATACATACAGCCCTCACATACAGCACACACACAAACCACTCACTCATACATACAGCACACACACACACCACTCATACATACATACAGCACACACACACCACTCACTCATACATACAGCACACACACACACCACTCATACATACAGCACACACACCACTCACTCATACATACAGCACTCACATACAGAACTCGCATACAGCACACACACCACTCATACATACAGCACACACACCACTCACTCATACATACAGCACACACACACACCACTCACTCATACATGCAGCACACACACACACCACTCACTCATACATACAGCACACACCCTACTCACTCATACATACAGCACACACTCACATGCATCACTCATACATACAGCACACACACCCCACTCACTCATACATACATACATACAGCACACACCACTCACTCATACATACAGCACTCACATGCATCACTCATACATACAGCACACACACACACACCACTCATACATATAGCACTCACATACACCACTCATACATACAGCACACACACACACCACTCATACATACAGCACACACACCACTCACACATACAGCACACACACAGCACTCACTCATATATACCGCTCTCACAGCAAATATACACCATTCATACATACAACAACAACCGCCATTCGCCACTAAGTGGCGGTGACGTCACCACGACGCTTGTGCCAGGCCATGTGCACCTTGAGGCCACGTGAAGTGTCGAACACCCACTGGCAGGAGGTCACGGGCAGACCCAGCAGGTGCCACGGGTCGACTGACTGAGATGATTGAGATGACTGGCTGATGAACTACCTGTGCCAACTTGCTGTGCTTTATCCACCCGGTGCTTCGCTCATTGTTGTGAGCGTCGCTCCTCTGCCCTCTGTTGTTGTTGGAGGGCGACTGCCTCCAACTGCCCAGTAGCGTCCTTCACAAGTCTCCAAAGAGGCCGATCTTGACACCGCTGGTACCAGTCATCGGCAAGTCCACTCAGCTCCACGTCTTCCTGTACCACATCACTCCATCTCTTCTCTCACCAGTACCGCGCCCGTTTAGCCCCCTCAATCCGGCCGAACAAAAGCTGTTTAGGCATGCGGTTGCTGTGCATGTGGGCTACATGACCCAGCCAACGCAGCCTTGCCTGCAGGAGCTCACCGATGGGACTTTGCCCAGATCTTTCAAGGATTTGTGAGCTCCTCAGACAATCCAGCCTGGTTAAACCCAGGATGGATCGGAGGCAGGCCAGCCTAAATGTTTCTAACCGGCGAAGATTCTCCATTAGGGAGGTCCACGTTTCGCAAGCGTAGAGACGGGAGAGAATGACCGTGGCCGAGAAGACCTGAAGCTTCGTGCAGAGCGACCAGGTAGCTTCCACACAGTGTTACGCAACCATCGAAAAAATTATGCCGCTCAAATCATTCGGAGTGAGACCTCTGCTGTTAAACCGGAGCCGGTCATGAGCACACTGCCCAGGTATGGGAAACTCTCCACTCTCTCCACAACTGCCCCATCACCGATTGGGAGTTGTGGGGGTGGAGTGTCCGATGGTACAAAATACCCAGGCAGGTGCTTAGTTTTGGTGGGGCCGATGGTAAGGCCCCACCTCTTAGTGGCACGCTCCAGTCTCAGCAGCAGCGTCTCCAACTCCTCCTCTGAATGAGGAGCAATTACCCAATCATCGGCATACATAACGTGGTTGACCACTAGGGAGCCATCCCTTGACTGCACCCGGGCATCGATCAGCCTCCCATTATATCTGTGCCAAATAGAAATTCCCTCGGTACAGCTATTGAAGGCTTCATGAACTACGTGGTCAAAATAGATGTTCAATAATGTGGGAGCCAGAGGACATCCCTGTCGCACCCCAAGGTGTACAGGGAAAGGCTCTGACTCCCGGCCACGTAGTTTTACCCGGGCCCGCTCACCATCATGAAGGTCCTTAATGATCGTGAGCAGAGGGTCAGGGACTCCGAAAGCACGAAGAACAACCCAGAGCCCAGGCCTACTGATGGTATCATAGGCCTTGACCAGGTCAATAAAGCAGAGATGTAGGTCTTGTTGGAATTCCCTATATGTCTGCTGTAGCAGACGGACAGAAAATATGGCATCTGTGCAGGACCACCCTTTCCTGAAACCGCATAGGGGCTCCGCAAGCCTCTCCTCAGCGTGTCTGGCAAGGCGATGTTGAATAATCCTTGCCAGGACCTTTCCCGGCACACTGAGGAGTGAGATTCCCCTGTAGTTGTTCCAGTCTGTGCGGTCCCCCTTCTGAAAGAGGGGGACCACCTACACAAACTCACATACAGCACACACACCACTCACGCATAAAGCACAACCCAAGGCTGAAACCAACCCCACCCCCAGGTTACCACAACTAAACCCCCCAGGTTACCACAACTCAACCCCCAGGTTACCACAACCCAACCCCCAGGTTACCACAACTCATCCCCCAGGTTACCACCAACCCAACCCCCAGGTTACCACCAACCCACCCCCCAGGTTACCACAACCCAACCCCCAGGTTACCACAACTCAACCCCCAGGTTACCACAACCCACCCCCCAGGTTACCACCAACCCAACCCCCCAGGTTACCACAACCCAACCCCCAGGTTACCACAACTCATCCCCCAGGTTACCACCAACCCAACCCCCAGGTTACCACCAACCCACCCCCCAGGTTACCACAACCCAACCCCCAGGTTACCACAACTCAACCCCCAGGTTACCACAACCCACCCCCCAGGTTACCACCAACCCAACCCCCGAGGTTACCACAACCCACCCCCCAGGTTACCACAACCCAACCCCCAGGTTACCACCAACCCCCCCCCCCCATGTTACCTGTGCTCTGGTTGCCAAGCGACCGCTGCTGTCTCACTGGCTATGAGTGCACGGGGCGCTGTACATGGACGTGGCTGCATCCTCTGTGGAAGTGGAGAGACGAGACAAGGTAGAGAGACAAGATCAGAGACAAGACAAGGTAGATAGACAAGACCAGGTAGAGAGACAAGACAAGTTAGAGAGACAAGACAAAGGAAGAGACAGAGAGACACAAACAAAGGTCACCCAGGTAGCCTGCATAGCGTTGCAGTTGACCCTACTCACCTGTGGCATAGTAATCGTAGACTCTGACACAGTTGACCCTACTAACTTGTGGCGTAGTAATCGTAGACTCTGACACAGTTGACCCTACTAACTTGTGGCGTAGTAATCGTACACTCTGACACAGTTGACCCTACTAACCTGTGGCGTAGTAATCGTTGACTCTGACACAGTTGACCCTACTCACCTGTGGCGTAGTAATCGTTGACTCTGACACAGTTGACCCTACTAACTTGTGGCATAGTAATCGTTGACTCTGACACAGTTGACCCTACTAACCTGTGGCGTAGTAATCGTACACTCTGACACAGTTGACCCTACTCACCTGTGGCGTAGTAATCGTAGACTCTGACACAGTTGACCCTACTCACCTGTGGCGTAGTAATCGTACACTCTGACACAGTTGACCCTACTAACCTGTGGCGTAGTAATCGTAGACTCTGACACAGTTGACCCTACTCACCTGTGGCATAGTAATCGTAGACTGACACAGTTGACCCTACTCACCTGTGGCATAGTAATCGTAGACTCTGACACAGTTGACCCTACTAACCTGTGGCATAGTAATCGTAGACTCTGACACAGTTGACCCTACTAACCTGTGGCGTAGTAATCGTAGACTGACACAGTTGACCCTACTCACCTGTGGCGTAGTAATCGTAGACTGACACAGTTGACCCTACTCACCTGTGGCGTAGTAATCGTAGACTGACACAGTTGACCCTACTCACCTGTGGCATAGTAATCGTAGACTGACACAGTTGACCCTACTCACCTGTGGCGTAGTAATCGTAGACTCTAACACAGTTGACCCTACTCACCTGTGGCGTAGTAATCGTAGACTCTGACACAGTTGACCCTACTCACCTGTGGCATAGTAATCGTAGACTGACACAGTTGACCCTACTCACCTGTGGCGTAGTAATCGTAGACTCTGACACAGTTGACCCTACTAACCTGTGGCGTAGTAATCGTAGACTCTGACACAGTTGACCCTACTAACCTGTGGCGTAGTAATCGTAGACTCTGACACAGTTGACCCTACTCACCTGTGGCGTAGTAATCGTACACTCTGACACAGTTGACCCTACTAACCTGTGGCGTAGTAATCGTAGACTCTGACACAGTTGACCCTACTCACCTGTGGCATAGTAATCGTACACTCTGACACAGTTGACCCTACTAACCTGTGGCGTAGTAATCGTAGACTCTGACACAGTTGACCCTACTAACCTGTGGCATAGTAATCGTAGACTCTGACACAGTTGACCCTACTCACCTGTGGCATAGTAATCGTAGACTCTGACACAGTTGACCCTACTAACCTGTGGCATAGTAATCGTAGACTCTGACACAGTTGACCCTACTAACCTGTGGCATAGTAATCGTAGACTCTGACACAGTTGACCCTACTCACCTGTGGCATAGTAATCGTAGACTCTGACACAGTTGACCCTACTAACCTGTGGCGTAGTAATCGTAGACTCTGACACAGTTGACCCTACTAACCTGTGGCGTAGTAATCGTAGACTCTGACACAGTTGACCCTACTCACCTGTGGCATAGTAATCGTAGACTCTGACACAGTTGACCCTACTAACCTGTGGCGTAGTAATCGTAGACTCTGACACAGTTGACCCTACTCACCTGTGACGTAGTAATCGTAGACTCTGACACAGTTGACCCTACTAACCTGTGGCGTAGTAATCGTAGACTCTGACACAGTTGACCCTACTAACCTGTGACGTAGTAATCGTAGACTCTGACACAGTTGACCCTACTAACCTGTGGCGTAGTAATCGTAGACTCTGACACAGTTGACCCTACTAACCTGTGGCGTAGTAATCGTAGACTCTGACACAGTTGACCCTACTAACCTGTGGCGTAGTAATCGTACACTCTGACACAGTTGACCCTACTAACCTGTGACGTAGTAATCGTAGACTCTGACACAGTTGACCCTACTAACCTGTGGCGTAGTAATCGTAGACTCTGACACAGTTGACCCTACTAACCTGTGACGTAGTAATCGTAGACTCTGACACAGTTGACCCTACTAACCTGTGGCGTAGTAATCGTAGACTCTGACACAGTTGACCCTACTAACCTGTGGCATAGTAATCGTAGACTCTGACACAGTTGACCCTACTCACCTGTGGCGTAGTAATCGTACACTCTGACACAGTTGACCCTACTCACCTGTGGCGTAGTAATCGTAGACTCTGACACAGTTGACCCTACTAACCTGTGGCGTAGTAATCGTAGACTCTGACACAGTTGACCCTACTCACCTGTGGCGTAGTAATCGTACACTCTGACACAGTTGACCCTACTAACCTGTGGCGTAGTAATCGTAGACTCTGACACAGTTGACCCTACTCACCTGTGGCGTAGTAATCGTAGACTCTGACACAGTTGACCCTACTAACCTGTGGCATAGTAATCGTAGACTGACACAGTTGACCCTACTCACCTGTGGCATAGTAATCGTAGACTCTGACACAGTTGACCCTACTCACCTGTGGCGTAGTAATCGTACACTCTGACACAGTTGACCCTACTAACCTGTGGCGTAGTAATCGTAGACTCTGACACAGTTGACCCTACTAACCTGTGGCGTAGTAATCGTAGACTCTGACACAGTTGACCCTACTAACCTGTGGCATAGTAATCGTAGACTGACACAGTTGACCCTACTAACCTGTGGCATAGTAATCGTAGACTCTGACACAGTTGACCCTACTAACCTGTGGCATAGTAATCGTAGACTCTGACACAGTTGACCCTACTCACCTGTGGCATAGTAATCGTAGACTGACACAGTTGACCCTACTCACCTGTGGCATAGTAATCGTAGACTCTGACACAGTTGACCCTACTAACCTGCGGCATAGTAATCGTAGACTCTGACACAGTTGACCCTACTCACCTGTGGCATAGTAATCGTAGACTCTGACACAGTTGACCCTACTAACCTGTGGCATAGTAATCGTAGACTCTGACACAGTTGACCCTACTCACCTGTGGCGTAGTAATCGTAGACTCTGACACAGTTGACCCTACTAACCTGTGGCATAGTAATCGTAGACTCTGACACAGTTGACCCTACTCACCTGTGGCGTAGTAATCGTAGACTCTGACACAGTTGACCCTACTCACCTGTGGCATAGTAATCGTAGACTCTGACACAGTTGACCCTACTCACCTGTGGCGTAGTAATCGTAGACTCTGACACAGTTGACCCTACTAACCTGTGACATAGTAATCGTAGACTCTGACACAGTTGACCCTACTCACCTGTGGCGTAGTAATCGTAGACTCTGACACAGTTGACCCTACTCACCTGTGGCATAGTAATCGTAGACTCTGACACAGTTGACCCTACTCACCTGTGGCATAGTAATCGTAGACTCTGACACAGTTGACCCTACTCACCTGTGGCGTAGTAATCGTAGACTCTGACACAGTTGACCCTACTCACCTGTGGCATAGTAATCGTAGACTCTGACACAGTTGACCCTACTAACTTGTGGCGTAGTAATCGTAGACTCTGACACAGTTGACCCTACTAACCTGTGGCATAGTAATCGTAGACTCTGACACAGTTGACCCTACTAACCTGTGGCGTAGTAATCGTAGACTCTGACACAGTTGACCCTACTAACCTGTGGCGTAGTAATCGTAGACTCTGACACAGTTGACCCTACTCACCTGTGGCGTAGTAATCGTAGACTCTGACACAGTTGACCCTACTAACCTGTGGCATAGTAATCGTAGACTCTGACACAGTTGACCCTACTCACCTGTGGCGTAGTAATCGTAGACTCTGACACAGTTGACCCTACTAACCTGTGGCGTAGTAATCGTACACTCTGACACAGTTGACCCTACTCACCTGTGGCGTAGTAATCGTACACTCTGACACAGTTGACCCTACTAACCTGTGGCATAGTAATCGTAGACTCTGACACAGTTGACCCTACTAACCTGTGGCGTAGTAATCGTACACTCTGACACAGTTGACCCTACTAACCTGTGGCGTAGTAATCGTACACTCTGACACAGTTGACCCTACTCACCTGTGGCATAGTAATCGTAGACTCTGACACAGTTGACCCTACTCACCTGTGGCGTAGTAATCGTACACTCTGACACAGTTGACCCTACTCACCTGTGGCGTAGTAATCGTAGACTCTGACACAGTTGACCCTACTAACCTGTGGCATAGTAATCGTAGACTCTGACACAGTTGACCCTACTCACCTGTGGCATAGTAATCGTAGACTGACACAGTTGACCCTACTCACCTGTGGCATAGTAATCGTAGACTCTGACACAGTTGACCCTACTCACCTGTGGCGTAGTAATCGTAGACTCTGACACAGTTGACCCTACTCACCTGTGGCATAGTAATCGTACACTCTGACACAGTTGACCCTACTAACCTGTGGCATAGTAATCGTAGACTCTGACACAGTTGACCCTACTAACCTGTGGCGTAGTAATCGTAGACTCTGACACAGTTGACCCTACTAACCTGTGGCATAGTAATCGTAGACTCTGACACAGTTGACCCTACTAACCTGTGGCATAGTAATCGTAGACTCTGACACAGTTGACCCTACTAACTTGTGGCATAGTAATCGTAGACTCTGACACAGTTGACCCTACTAACCTGTGGCATAGTAATCGTAGACTCTGACACAGTTGACCCTACTAACCTGTGGCGTAGTAATCGTAGACTGACACAGTTGACCCTACTCACCTGTGGCATAGTAATCGTAGACTCTGACACAGTTGACCCTACTCACCTGTGACGTAG